TCAAAATGGCTTCTAAAGTGCCCAAATTGCTCTTTACCCAAATGTAGGATTTACTGATAGGTGCCTAACTATAGAAACAACCATTCATCGGGCGCCTGGGTGGCTCAGTCGGTTAAGTCTCCAACTTCCACTCAGTTAATGATCTTGCGGTCTGTGGGTTCGAGCCCCACATCAGGCTCTGTGCTGACAGCTCAGAGCCTGGAGCCTGTTTCAGATTCTGTATCTCCCTCTCTCTCTGCCCCTCCCCAGCTCATGCTCTGTCTCTCTCTGTCTCAAAAATAAATAAACGTTAAAAAAAAGTTTCTTAATTAAAAAAAGAAACAGTCATTCATATGGTTAGTACTTGTTATGGGGGCCAAAATACAAATATACACATAAACATGTACCAAAAGAATACCTTTACTTATAAGCCGGTAGCATGTAGCAGTTAATTATCTAAGAAGTTTTACAATTGTAAAAAGTCCTAATAAAAGCCAAAATATAAGAAAGAACAGTTGGGAGTGCTTCACTTTCTGCAAAATCTTTATATTTCATATACCAATATATCATCACTATTTATTAATTTGGACAATTTAGGTCTTGTATGGAGGTTTTGTTCTAAGTCCTATTAAACTATATGGGAAAAGATCCCAAATAATTCCTTTTAGCAATGTACCATATTTTACAAACACAGATTAAAGTTCTGATTTTTCTTCGTTTATTTGTTACATCAAAGGCCTACTGATTATCTAATTGGTCCTCCCTGACCTCATGGGCCTTCCAAACGAATAGGCCAGATAGCCACAGACCATTAAATACAGAAAGTGAAGTGACGGGAGCAGAAACATTGCTATTTACAGAAGCCTGAGATGGGTGAGGACAGAGCTCTGATAAAGGTCATGTGTGACCTGAGCCTCCAAAGATAAACACAGTTAGCCAGGCTTAAAGACTGGGAAGAAACTAAAGACAACCAGTATTTCTCTAGATTAAGTTCCCCCACCTCAAAAAAATCAACACACCTATCAAATTTAACATTGCTTTTTTTTTTTTTTAAACTCATTTCAAAAGGGGTCTGGCAATGAAAAATCTATTCAGTTTACAATGATTCAATGGTCATCCAAATAGTAAATCACTCACATCAATGGAAAAAATATAGAAAGAATTCAAATGACTACACAAGCAGGCAGAAAGTGGTAGGTTTTTGGTGTGTGGAACACAAGGTAATGCACAGGAAGGAGAAAACATTCCAAATACTTAAAATTGACTTTAAGTCTGGGGGCTCTCAATGCAAAAAAGCAAGAAGACCTAGGAGTCTTTACAGAGGTCATCTCCCTCGGCAACTTTGCCTGTGCAACTTCAGGCAAAAAGACCAAGAAAACAATGGACTTCATTAAGGACTGGGTTGGAAATGAGATAGAATACACTACCTTGCCCTCAATAAAAACATGGCCTATCAAAACCAAAGTACTGTGTACAATTCTAAACACTAATTCAGAAGCAGTAGGGTACAGTGATTAACAGATATGCTCAAGTCTAACTTTCTGCCACCTACCATGTCACAGTTCCATCACGTATAAAATGAGAGTAGGCATACCTACGTCGGAGTTGTTCTACATGTACAGTTAATTGAAAAAGTGTAATTTTTTAGCATAGTACCTAACATGTAAAAGCATTCCCCAAAATGGTAGCATTACTCCTACAAAGCAAGAAGTAATCTCCCAGAGAAAAGCCATTAAAATATTAAGAAACATTCCAAACTTTGATATGCATTAAAATCACCTCAAGGGCTTGTTGAAAATGTAGATTCCTGAAAACCATTCCTCCCAGGGATTAATTTTACAAGTCTAAAGTAGAATGTAGTCATGCTCTGGCCCAAACATCAAGAATTACTTAAGTAAGAGAATCAAGGTACTGCCCTATTTAAAAAAAAAAAAAGGCTGAAAACTAGTATTCTTCCATATAAAAAACTGACCTAAAACAGACTGAATGTTCAAGAGGAAATACAAACATGTTCAGCAAGTTCATTCATTCAACTAACATTCATTAAGTACCCACTATGCAGAGAGTACATCCCCATTTTCAGAGTTTAACTTCTAGCATAGGAAACAGAATATTTTAAAAAAATAGGAAAATTCCAGATAGTGCAAAATGTTATGAAAAAAATTAAAAGAGAATGGAGAGATAACTGGGGAGAAATTTCCTCAAAGAAACAACATCTGAACTGAAACCTAAATGACCTGATGGAATCAGCCACAGCAAGATCTGGGAGAATACTGAAGCCACAGGGTACAGCAAGCTCAAATGCCCTAAGGCAGGAACAAGCCTAGCAAGTTCCAGGCACTGTCCTAGTGTGTCTAGAACACAGGAACTGACATGGCCAGGCCTTAGGGTACTAATTTAGGCAGGGGAATGCAATGTGAGTTAAGGGAAGGGGGCTGTTCCAGAACATGTAGTTTGGATTTTGTTCTGAATGTAACAGAAGGCTTTCCAAAAAAAAAAAAAAAAAAAGACAACATAATCTTATATACACTTTAAAGGATCTCTGGGCTGTGGTAAGGGGGACATACCATAAAAAGCCAAAGTGGAGGCAGGGAGACCAGTAGGTTACTACAGCAGGTCAGAGATGGTGAAAGTTGGCAAAGGTAGAGGCAGTAGCGATGGGAAGTAGTGGCCAAACTTAGAATAAACCACTACAATTTAAGGTAAATAAAAGAAAAAAAAAAAAAAGAACTAAGCCACAAAATGAGCAGTAAACACCTGGGACTAATTACCCAAGAGATACAGAATACAAATAGATTTAAAGGTTTTAAGTAAATTCATGACTAACAGACGTAAATAGATTATTAGCATATTTAGTGTACTTCCTAGACAGTACTCATCTTTTGAAGCTGAGAAGAAGGGGACATATCCTTTTCTTTTGGCACCACCAAGAAGGCACTGGACTAAACAGGCATACATCCAACACTCGTAAGTGTGATTCATAAAGTAAAATCTCTCAGGACCTCACTATCAGAGGCCTGAACAGCTGGTTGGCATTTGGAACATAGTGTAGCTATGGAACAGAAATAAAGCTTTACCTGAATCAAATCACTAAATTAGCAAAACTCTTTTAAACTTCCTATTGTCGACTTAGGCTACTCTGTGCCTGCTCTCCCAAGGGTTAAACAAGAAAACCTTATACGGCCACACAATGCATATTAACTTCTTTATATTATCATAAAAGTTTGGGAGGAAATCTTTTAAAACCACGATTTTAATCACGGTTTGGCAAACATACAGTGAATATACCCTAAAAATTGAGGTCCAAAAGTCCCTATCTATTAAAATATACATTTTGTTACTCCAAAATACCACTATTTGAAAAAGCAAGGTTCCAGAAAAGCATATGCAATTATACCATTTTGCAGTAAAATGTCTAACTGCAAAAAAGAAGTCTGGAAGGATATAAACCACTACTAACATTTTAGTCATCTCTGGATGGCAGGATTATTAATGGCTTATTTTCTTGTTTGTTTATTAATTGTAATAATTCTCCAATTATTACAAATTACTGCATATAAGCAAAAATATTCAGTTGCAGGTTACATAAAAGGTAAAAAAAAGAACTTCAAGAAAATATATTTTCATTTTTCTAAATCAGCAGGATTCCAACTGTGGTATTACGAAAAAAGATCTCAACTGCACACATCGGAGAAATTTGTTAAGAAGAGATCCATGTTATACCACACAAGGATACCCCTTCAAGGAAGTAGCCCAAGCCTAAGTACTCTTCCCGGATTTCATAAGGGGCAATCAATTAGCACATACTTCTTTTCTCCTTTTTGCCATTTACCAAAGAAACACCTCAATCAGTTCCCTGGGACAAAAAATTTAAAAAAAAAAAATTTTTTTTAAACACCAGCTTAGGGCAAAGAGGAGGTTTGGTCCCCTGTCTCTATGCTGTCACGGAGGGTAGCAGGGTTTGAAGCAGGCTACACTAGAAGAATCTGCGCGGCCGGCTACCTGAAGTGAAAGGGAACACAAGCTTTCGGCAACCTCCAGTGAATAGGGTCTCAAGACTAAAACACCGGAGAGGTCTTCTACACCGTCCAAGTTACTGTGCTTGTAGACCTGGCCACGGTTTCTAACAATAACACCTAAAAACTGGAAGGTCTCCTCAACAAACGCAGATACTACGTGCGTGAGGCGCATCCGGCTCTCCAGGCAAAGCCAAGACATTCTACTTAAGGCCGAATCTTCGATTTTGCAAACTAGGACAACTGAAAACATCCTATTGACTTCTTACAGCTAACAAACATTATGTTGGCTAAAATCCTCACACACACACACACACAGAAACGGACACTTCGGAAAACTTTGGCTTTAAACTGCAACACTGGACTTTACGTACTCCGGTAAACAGTTTATCGCACATTATTTGTCTATAAAGGGTACTGCCTCTTCACTGTCAGCTCTGATTCTACTAACTGGACAAAGAAAAAAGGGAAATACTTTAAACCCACACCACAATAAGAGCTAAAATACAGCTCCCGCTATCTGCATGGCAGCTTTCCTTGCTCATCAATCACAACAAAGGACGCATCCTAATGACTTCATCAAACCTAGAGAAATAGAGGTAAATGACAGTGTTGGATTTCAGGGTTTGTGGGTTTTTCCTTTCGGCTACGACTCTCTTTTTTACTCCCTTATACGCCTCCACCCGAGCTGACGGTCTTGCCCTAAAAATAAAACCACCCGTGGCTACTGTCCACTTTCCTGCTAAGCCCCGACTCTGGTTTCCTGCAGAGAGAGCCAAATTGCAGGTTCTCTGCCTCGCTCTTCGCCGGGGGGCGAGGGATCGGCAGCAGCGGGCTTCTCCCGGTGCAGAGTCACCAGCCCGGCCGGAGAACCACCGAGCCCGAGAAGCCAGCCCCGCTATGCCGCAGCAGCCGCAGCTCCCCAGAGCCTGAGGAGCCCCCAGGAGAACAGGGAGAGGGGAGGGTGGGCCGGCAAACGGCGGAGATAGAAAGGGAGACACTCACCCGCCCAGACAACAACCAACGGGGCGGGGAGGATGGGGGCCGGGATCCAGGCTCGGCAGAAAAACCGCCTGAAGCTTCCGGAACGCTGCGGCTGCTCAAGACGCCGCGACCGCTGCTGCTCCTGGCCGCTGACTTCCTCCCCTCCTCTGTTTTGATTCGACTGACCACGTCACTCTAAGCCACGAGACCCGGATCTGCCGGCTCCCGCGGGCGGCGGCGCAACAGATTGCAGCGACTCCGAGACCCAGCGGCCCGCCTGCGGAGCATGCGCGCGCCCCGCGCCTGCCCAGTGCGTCGGAGAGGAGGGGCAGGCGCGAGCGCTACGAGCGCAAGTGACACGCCATTCGTGGGGGCGCACGCGCGGGGGTTGCAGTTCCGGTTGGGAGGGGTGGGGCCGAGCGCTGTAAAGTGAGGAGGGCGAGGCTCCGTGTCTGTTGAACTGGCTCGCGTAGCCTCTCTTTCGTCTTTGGTGAACAACGTCCTTTGCTGTGCGTTTCCCTTTGCCTGAGCTGGTGGCTTTTTCTGACTCGAGTCCTTAGAATAGCGAGGGTAGAAAAAGAGATGGGCGCAAGTTCATGTCTGCTGAGAAAGGGTACCTCTGTAGAGATTTTTTTTTTTTTTTTTAAGATCACTCAGGCCTGGGTGAAAATTGGGGGACGAGGATTTATTTTGATGCACAAAAGTATGTCAGATGTAGCAGTTTTTGATCCTCTTTACATTCCCTGATGTTTTTGCACCCAGAAAGCTGTCTAAAATTAAGCTTAAGAGAAAAAGAGCGTAAGTCACCAACAATGGCTTGCTGGTCGGGAGACAGTGAACGGGTTGGGAGTGGCAGGGGTAAGCTTTGTTGAGCGAGAGCCCTAAGCTTTAATTGCAGGAATAAGGATACTATTGCTTATAAGTTAAGGGTTATATAATAATAATATATAATAATGAGTAAGAACCTCACTTCTTTTTGGGCCAAGTTGGTGCTTCCTGCTCTCCCATTCTGGCCGCCTTAGTCTACCAGCTAAACCTTTGGGGCCCCCAAAATTTCCCAATTTGGCAAAACGTAGAGCTACTCTGTTTGTTAGGCCCAGGAATTAACAAACTTTAATTAGAACAGGACCAGTGGGTGGGAATGTAAGCTGGTGCAGCCCCTCTGGAAAATAGCGTGGAGGGTCCTCAAAAAATTAACAATAGAACTCCCCTATGACCCAGCAGTATCGCTGCTAGGAATTTACCCAAGGGACCCAGGAGTGCTGACGCATAGGGGCACATGTACCCCAATGTTCATAGCAGCACTCTCCACAATAGCCAAAACATGGAAAGAGCCTAAGTGTCCATCAAAAGAAAAATGGATCAAGAAGATGTGGTATATCTATAAAAAGGAATACTACATGGCAATGAGAAAGAATGAAATCTGGCCATGTGTAGCAACATGGTTGGAACTTGAGGGTGTTATGCTGAGCGAAATAAGTCAGGGAGAGGACAGATACCATATGGTTGCACATGTAGGTGGATTGGGAGAAAGCTAACAGAGGACCATAAGGGAGAAGAAGGGGAAAAATAGTGGGGGAGAGGGAGGCAAACCATGAGAGACTCTTGAATGCTGAGAACAAACAGGGCTGATGGGGGTGGGGGAGAGGGGAAGGGGGGTGATGAGCATGGAGGAGGGCACTTGTTGGGATGAGCACTGGATGTCATATGGAAACCAACTTGACAATAAGATATTTGTAAAAAAAAAAAAAAAGGAAACCAACTTGACAATAAACTGTTGAAAAAAAAAAAAAAGATGTTCTCCCAAAGCTTTTACACTCTTAAAGAAAAAAAAAAAAAAGAATAGGACCAGCGGCAAAGTAGAAGTTTAAGTTCCAAACAAAGATTTCACAAAGGTAGATCCTCTTTGCCTATCCTCTAGATGAGGTGAAAGTTAGCTGTAAGAAAGGGTCTTCCTCACTCTTAGTGACGTCAATGAATTTCAACTCAGCTACTTTACCCAGTAAATCATTTCCACTAACTGAGTCACTTTCCGCAAATTAGTAATATAATCTCCAAGTTATTTTTCATGTATAAATCTTTACACAAGTAAAGATTTCTAGAAAATTTAAGGTTTCTGGTAAAACTCCAAAGTGTTTCGTAATTAACAGATTACAGTAAATAGAAGTCAAACTTCTTGGCCCTTAATCTGCCATCTTGAACTCGACTCAAATTTAAGAGAGCTTGAGGTGGAATCTAAGGCCCTAATTAAGTTCATATTTACACTATAGCAGAGGATCTTGAATTTGTGAAACAAAGTCTTGGGGCGCCTGACTAGCTCAGTCGGTTAAGCTTCCGATTTCGGCTAAGGTCATGATCTCACGGCTTGTAGGTTTGAGACCTGCAACAGTCTTTGTGCTGACAGCCTGGAGCCTTCTTCAGATTTTGTGTCTCCCTCTCTCTCTGCCCCTCCCCTGCTCATACTGTCTCTCCCTCTCTCCATCTCCCTCTCAAAAATAAACATTAAAAAAAAGTCTTATATGCTTGAGTGCACTCCTGTACACAGACGTATTTGAGAACACAGCTGTGTTTTAAAAAGCAGTATGTCACAACTAGAATCATACGGGTTGTTGCAAAATTATCAATACTTGCTTTAATAAAGTAAATTACAGAAAAATCAAGATGTTAGAATCCTTGGTAGGTAGCTTCCGAGGTAACTCCAAAGATTCTCACCTCTGTAAATATAGTCCTCCTACAGCCCTTTGATTCAGGGCTAATCTGACCCATAGAATACAGCTGAAGGTGTGTGACTTCTGACGCTAGGTCATAAAGGCACTGATTGCCCCTTTCCACCTCATTCTCTTGGTTTGCGTGCCATAGGGGAAGTTAGTCTACACACCACTCCATTCAAGCAGCTCTATGAAGGGAACATGTGGAGAGGGAAAAAAGCCTTCACCAGCAGGCACACCAACTTATCAGCCATGTGAGTGAGCTACTTTGGGCTGATCTTGTAACCCCAGTCAAGCATTGGATGACTCCATCCCTGCCCAGCATCTGCTCACAATCTCATGAGAGATAGAAAGGGCCAGCTTTACCCACAGACAGTGATATGGAATCTTATATAGTTTTTTGCCCAATCATAAAGTTCAACCTTTCTAAACTTACAACAATAGAAAAACAGAAAAAGTGTGTGCATAATTCTGTATATAAAGTAATTTGAAGAATAACATAGACTTCCCACCACAGTACCTGGGACACAGTAGATACTGAATAAATATTTATTTAATGGACCCATAAAAGACACACCATTTGAGGGGTGCCTGGGTGGCTCAGTCAGTTGAGTGTCCGACTTTGGCCCAGGTTATGATTTCATAGTTTGTGGGTTCGAACCCCATGTCAGGCTCTGTGCTGACAGCTCAGAGCTTGGACCTGCTTTGAATTCTGTGTCTCCCTCTCTCTCTGCCCCTCCACTACTAGCACTCTCTCTCTCTCTCAGAAATAAACATTAAAAAAATACTCTTTTTTAAAAAAAGACACGCCATTTGGAAAATATTGGGAGTAAATATTGATAAAGGAGTAACACGATAATATATGAAGGACTCACACAAATCAAGAAGACATTACTGCCACCAATACTCATGTAGGTATAGAGTATGAACTGATGGCTTACACACAAAATGGAGATACAAATAATATTTGAAAATCTTTAATCTCATCAAAAATGCAAATAAAAGTAAGGTTTACTTTTTTAACTACTTTATGAGACTTTTTAAAAAGATTTTTTATTTCTTACAAATCAAAACCACACTGAGATACCACCTCACGCCAGTCAGAGTGGCTAAAATGAGCAAATCAGAGGACTCTAGATGCTGGTGAGAATGTGGAGAAACAGGCACCCTCCTACACTGTTGGTGGGAATGTAAACCCGTGCAGCCCCTCTGGAAAACAGTGTGGAGGCTCCTCAAAAAATTAACAATACAACTCCCCTATAACCCAGCAATAACGCTGCTAGAAGTTTACCCAAGGGATACAGGAGTGCTGATGCATAGGGGTACATGTACCCCAATGTTCATAGCAGCACTCTCAACAATAGCCAAAACATGGAAAGAGACTAAGTGTCCATCAAAAGAAAAATAGATCAAGAAGATGTGGTTTATCTATACCATGGAATACTACATGGCAATGAGAAAGAATGAAATCTGGCCATGTGTAGCAACATGGATGGAACTTGAGGGTATTATACTGAGCAAACTAAGGCAGAGAAGGACAAATACCATATGTTTGCATGTATAGGAGGATTAGGAGGAACTTAACGGAGGACTGTGGGGGACAAGAATGGGGGTAATAGTGGGGGAGAGGGAGGGAGGCAAACCATGAGAGATTCTTGAATGCTGAGAACAAACAGGGCTGATGGGGGTGGGGGAGACAGGAAGGGAGGTGATGGGCATGGGGGAGGGCACTTGTGGGGATGAGCACTGGGTGTTATATGGAAACCAACTTGACAATAAACTATTTTAAAAAAGATTTTTTTATTTCTAAGTAATTCCTACACCCAATATGGGACTCAAACTCACAACCCTGAGATCCATGTTCCACTGACCAAGCCAGTTGGATATCCTGCAGATATTTTTAAATAGGAGTACCTAATATTGGTGCTGTTAATACTACTAATAGAAATTTAAGTTGGCAGTTAGCTTTTTGGAAATCAGTTTGGCAATATATATGAAGTTCTATAAAAATTTCACATCAATTGGCTCAATTTCACTGTTAGGAACTTAAATAATTTAAAAGTTAATAATATTATGAAGATATTAATAAAATAAAAATATATGGGGCACCTGGGTGGCTCAGTCATTTAAGCGTCCAGCTTCGGCTTAGGTCATAATCTCATGGTTCGTGGGTTTGAGCCCCGCATCAGGTTCTGTGCTGACAGCTCAGAGCCTGGAGACTGTTTCAGATTCGGTGTCTCCCACTCTCTCTGCCCCTCCCCAACTAGTGCTCTGTCTCTCTCTGTCTCAAAATTAAATAAAACCAAAAAAAATTTTTTAATAAAATAAAATAAAATAAAAGTATAGGAATAACTTATATGAACAATGGTAATGGAAAGAATAACTTTGTTACATTGTATGTTATGATCTAAGAAATTGAGGATAGAAATAATTTAAAATAGAAAGATTTTAAGAAAGTTAATCACATTGTATAAGATGGAGAAAAAATCTAAAAATAATCCACACACATAATGATAATAGAATGGATAAATATGTTAAATTATATGTTTGGGCTTAACAAACTTGAAAATTTCTT